AATGGGGAGCAGAACAGGCAGATCGATGAAGTACACTGCTGAGGGGAGCAGCGGGTGGGTCAGGAGAGGTCTGCTTTGCCATGTGGATCACCCTCGGGGCTGGGGATCGAACTCACACTGAAGCAACTGCAGCTCGCTTGCAGTGCTGATCTTTAGCCAGCTGTGCCACCAGGGAGAGCCATATACTTCATATTTCTTAATGTATGTGACTTCTTATTTTTGCTTTCTAAGTAATTTAATGAAAAGGTACCTATGGTTTCAGAGTTTTCCATAGTGAGTACAAATATTATAGAAAAAAAATATATAGTTTGATGGTTATAGCATATATTAGTATTATAGCATTCATTTGTTTGGAAACTTTTATTGATGACTTTCTATGTTTCTGTGGTATAGAAGGGGCCCATTGAATTCAGGGCATGTAAGTGTCATGGCACTCGTGTTTTCATCTCTTCGTCCTGCTTGCAGATGAGGACGGGTGGCATGCGGAGCAGAGGGACGGCTCTGAAGCATTACTTGAGTGGTCTGCTGAGAGACAAGATATCTCTGTCACCTCAGATAGCTACTTTCCTAGGTACTTCACTGCTCCTGGTAAGTGAAGCAAGAAAGCAATCTGGCCAGCTGTGGCTCTTGGTGGTCTAATTCTCACATTCTTACGCACCATTGTTGTGTTTGCTTCCAGCGAAGTTCTTGGGCAAACAGGTGCTGAGTTATGGTCAGAACTTCTCCTTCTCCTTTCGAGTGGACAGGCGAGACACTCGCCTCTCTGCAGAAGATGTGGTGCTTGAAGGAGCTGGCCTGAGAGTGTCCGTGCCCTTGATCGCTCAGAGCAACTCCTACCCTAGTGAGAATGCGGTGAAATATGTCTTCAGGTAGGGGCCATCTTTTTTGGTCACCTATACCCTTTCCAAGTGACTACTCAGCAACACTCACTTTTTGTTAGGTTAAATTGTTAAAGCATTGCATCCTTGGAGCCATTAAAAGAAGAAATGAATGCTGTCTCTGCTTCTAGAACTGTCCTTATAGAAGTTGATGAGGCCCTTTCTCTCTCTCTCCAGGCTCCATGAAGCGACAGATTACCCTTGGAGGCCTACTCTTACCCCTTTTGAATTTCAGAAGCTCCTAAACAATTTAACTGCTATCAAGATCCGTGGAACATACAGTGAAAGAAGTAAGTTATGATATAGCTTGGGACAATTGTTTTAAAAGATACAGATGGAAGGATCCGTGATAATGCAGTTCATCACTGTAACATGACGATGGTATAAAATGATTCATTTTTTATACATGAATGATGTACAAAAATGTGTTTTTAACTGCTTTCAAGGACCTGAAGAAAATTTGCTAAAATTAGTAAATAGTGTGAGTTGATAATAGGTCTGTGGAGTTTATATTACATGTAAAGAGATTCTTCTAAATTATTTAAATATTCTACTGGCACAAGCTGCTTAACCTTCATTTCTTTCTAGTTATATTAATACGGTAATGATTAAAAGTCTTGATAATTTAACCATTGACTAAGTCAAGAAAACTTATAAGTGATGGAATGAACTTTTGTTACAATTTTAAACAGGCAAAACTATTTTAAGCTATCCCTTTAAATTTTTTTCTTGTATTTAAAAAAAAAAAAGAACTTTTTCATAGAAAGGCAGACCTGCCTGGGGGAAGTTGATGGTTTAGTGTCAGCAACTTGGATGCATTGAACTTTCATTTACCTGAGTTACCAAATGAAAAAGTCTTTTACATTGTTAGAAACATGGCTCTAAAATGTTAGAAAAGAAGTTTGAACTGAAGATATAGAATTAAAAGTTGGGCACTCATTTAATAGTAATAAATAATAATAAAAATAAAAAGCATGGGCAATAATTTTTAAGCTTGGAAATATGACAAAAGGTAGAGAAAAAGTAAAATCAGTCCTGGAAGCATAGGTATTTAAGGATGATGCCCTGAGACTCAAGGGAAAAAAGAATTAAATAACGCTTGCTTTAAAAACACAGTAAATTAAGGACACAGAAAGAGAATTGTAAAGAACAGAAACAAGTGACAGGTTCCAGAAGACGGCAGCATCACTGGCTTTAGATTGGGGGTAAGGAGGAGTCATCAGTGAGAGCTTTGTTGGCTTTCTTTTTGAAGAAATTGAAAGCATAGTTAGGTTGTGTGATTTGAAAGTGATTGAAAGGTGAAGAGTTTTTTTTTTTTTTTTTTTTAAGTTTTACTGTATAAAAGGGAAAAGAGCTATGGTGATGGCACATGGGTATTTGATAATGGGAAGCCCATGGGGACTATAACTGAGATGAAAAAATTCACAAAATGATGTAAAAATAAACTATTATATTATTTAAAAAAACAAGGGGGGAAAGGCAGATAATTTGGGAGTAGGGCCAGAATTTTGAAGGAAGAGTACTTCTGGAATGGCAAGCCTTAATGCTTAGAGGTAGAAGCACATTAACCTGTGGAGAGGCTTCTCATGACCTTTCTGGGAAAAGAAACCATAAACAGACATTAACTCGGTTTTAGGCAGTAAGAGAAAAGATGTCTTTCAGTTTCAGGTTGTCAGCTGTTAGTACATAAACATCAAGTAATGTTTCATAACATGGGGATACCACTTGAAATATGTGACTGCAGGAGACAGGAGGGGAATGCAAATGAAGGGAAACTGATAAGCAGGCTGCCTCTTGCACACCGTCCTCCTGCTCTGTTGCCCTGTGCACTGCTGTTAGGAGGAACCATCTTAGACTAAAGACTTGCACCATTTCAATTTTCTTCTCAAATGAGAAGGCATTGGCTATCAGGCAGAATGGCTTCAGAATAATCACCTGTTTGTCAGAGGTTACCTTCAGTCTCAAAACTCGTTCACTTATTTTTGCTGTTCTTTGCAGGACAAAAATACAGTTGAATGTCACTTGTTGACAGGTGCTTTCCTTTTTCTTTGTCTCCGAGCTTTACAATCAGTGCCTGCTTTTATAGCAAAAGAATAAAAACACAGACTGATGCTCTTCTTGTCACCCAAATTTTTGTCCTAATTTCTTTTTGCCTCAGATTATTGACCAATGCTTTTCATTTTTCAAATTGGTGATTGGGCAGAACGTAAACTCCAGCAGACCTGTGTGAGTGAGAGTGTGTTAAGCATGTAAGGTTGCAACCCAGCTCCTCTGTACCACGTGTTACATGGTTGTTCTAAATGCTGTTTTCTAGTTATTATCTCCAAGTCAAGATGGTTGCTCATCTTTGGAATTTTGGGTCTGCTTACTCTTTAGCATTATTGCCTTTTCATTAAGTTTGGGAAACAGAGTTCAGTGATTTCCTTTCCCCCACTATATACAGGTGCTGGATATTTGGATGATGTCACCCTGGCGAGTGCTCGACCTGGGCCTGGGGTCCCTGCCACCTGGGTGGAATCCTGTACCTGTCCTGTGGGCTATGGAGGGCAGTTCTGTGAGATGTGCCTCTCTGGTTACAGAAGAGAAACCCCAAGTCTGGGGCCATACAGTCCGTGCGTGCTCTGTACCTGCAATGGGCACAGTGAGACCTGTGACTCCGAGACAGGTGAGAAGGTACTCTTTGGTGGCTGCAAGAAACTGCAGTTCTCTTTAGCAGATGGGAAGGAAATGCTCACTGTCTTCTGTATTTGCACACCAACCTGCTCTCTGATACCCATTCTCCCACTAGGTGTTTGTAACTGCAGAGACAACACAGCCGGCCCCCACTGTGAGAAGTGCAGCGATGGGTTCTACGGTGATTCAACCATGGGCACCTCCTCTGACTGCCAGCCCTGCCCGTGTCCTGGGGGCTCGAGCTGTGCTGTTGTGCCTAAGACAGAGGAGGTGGTGTGCACCAACTGTCCTACTGGCACCACAGGTGAGTGCTCTTCCCATCTCCTTGCAGTGCCCATCCATAGAGGCACCTTGGCAAGAAGGGATTTGGGATTTTTTTGTTTGGTTCAATGATTACAGTTTCTGTGAAGGCAAAACTTTTGTAGGAAACAGGTTAGTATAAGATTCCCAAAATGCATGTCAGATACAGATAAAAGCTAGCATATTCATGGCCAAATACTTTTCTAAGCTTTTGATATGTACTGCCTCATGAATCCTCACAGCATTATTCACTAGGTTTTGCTATTGTCCTCATGTCAGCTAATAAAACTGAGGCCCAGAGACAGTGACTGACTTGAGCAAGTCTGCGTAGCTTGTTATTGGAGAAGCTGGGATGTCTCAGGAGTGGGGTGGACTCCAGAAATGAAGGTCACTGCAATGTACCATGTCTCATAGGATGAAAGCCAAAACTTGATTTTTAGGTGGTAAGGCTTTCCTGGGATTCTCAATGTAAAGTGGCAAGTTTTAGATTCCCTAGATGTTCGTTGTACTAGAGCCACCGTCGGGAGAAGAGTTTTGCAGTTTGGATAGATCTTCATTCCTATTCTCTGAGTTTCTTTTTGATAAGACATGAAACGAGGAACTGCCTGTGCTGACCCATAGGAGCTGAGGCTTGCTGGAGACCATGTCCCTCCTTCTGTGGACAGAGGTTCTGGTCAGGCTTCTGATAAAATCCTTGGCTCCATTGCAAACTTTGTTCAAGCGGTATTGCTACAGGGCTTGAAACTAAGTGAAAATCAGAACAGCATTGAACTCATTAATGTGTCTCTCTGTTTCCCATCAAGACACATTGTAGTTGTTGGGAAACCTCAGAACACTCCCTCCCTGCCACTGCTCCCTGACCCTCACCAAGCACAAGGGCATTCCACTGAGGTGGAAGCCTTGTTAAAGGTAGCTGAGAAACAGGAACAGAATTTGCTGTAGATTTATATGTGTGGCCGTTTCCTGAACAGTGGCCCACCAGTCTCACAGACGTGGCCATCCCTGACTCCCCACAGCATGCTCTGTACCGCTTCTCCTCCCCCACCCCCGGCCCCCCACCCCCTTGTGCTCTTCTCTCTTTTCAAACTGAGTTCCCCACTTTCCTTATCCAAATCTCACTTTCTTTGAGGTTGGACTGATGCATCACTTTGTTCTGGGGTTGGACTGATGCATCACTTCCCCCGAGATTTTCCTCAAAGAACCCTCCCTGCCCGGCTACCTTTGACTCTGAGACCCTTTGCTCTGAAGCCATAGCACGTGGTTAGCATCCCAGTGGCACTGTTTGCTCTTCGAAGGACTTGTCATGATGTTTTGATGAGAGACCCCTTCACTCATTTGTTTCGTACAGACTCCCACTGTAAAATTAAACAAGCATTGAGGAGACCTCATGTCTATTCTAAAGGATACAAATGGTGACTTGACACCATTTGGGACACTTAATGGGACACATTGTAATAGTGCTTGGAAAATGCTATAAAGTATTAATGCTGTAACATGTGACAGTGAAACATGTTATCACCTAACTATTCATAGCAGTTCTTGAGGATGTTGGTTAGGGCGTAAATAGCATCAACCCTGTAAAAGAACAATGCCATCTTCCATTCTCCTTGTATCCTGTAACCCCTATATTACTTTTTATTGATAGCTACTTGATATTTTTGTTTATTATCTGTCTTTTCTTTATGCTTCTCTACCTGTAGTTTAAACTCCATGAGAGCAGAGATTTTTGTGGGGGGTTTTCACTTTTATATCTCTAACACCGAAGTTTAGTGACTGGCAAGTGCGTTCATTGAAGAAATGCAAATATTTATTGAACAAATAAATAGCGATGGCAGACACAACAGTTGCTCTTTGTTAGAGGACTATGAAAGAACTTGAATGACTACCTGACTACCGATAGTCACTGAGATCTTCACCTGATGTGATTTTGCATTTAATTTATTCTTTAAAATAGTCTTTTGGGATAAATTGTTGCTACTGCTACTACTGTTCTTTTTCAATAAATTTGAGTGCAATGTTTTGGAATACAAGAATTAGTAAGGAATGGTTCCTCTTCAGGGGCTTAAATGGACAAGAAAAATTCTATACGATTTGCTTACTAGTTCAGATAAAGGTATGCAGACACAAGAACTTAAGGGGAGGGAGCAGCACACCTCTGGGAGCAGGTGATGAGGAAACTGTGAGCAGGCATAAAAAAGTTGTATGACTCCACCCAACTCATATAAATAGTATAGTGGATTTGAACCTATGTTTCAGGTGTGAGAGCAAAGAGTAGGTGAGGGGTGGCCGCTAGAGAGTATTCTGGTGGGAGAGGTTTTCATGGATTGCCATCACCTCTGTTTTAGGTTTTCTACCAGATATTTTCAAAGTTTTATTCAAAACAGATTTTTAAGACATATTACATATGGATCACATCTAGAATAACTAAGTTAACTGATGAAACAGCAAAACCAAAATGCCATTTTAGTCCTCATCTAGACAAAGATCTTGGGCGAGTCTGGTAATGTTTTAAATCCAAGCAAAGAAGTCCTCCTAGCTTCCTGCCCTCTCCTAATGCTCCAGTGCCTACTCTTTGTCTTCACCCCTGACTCAGGTGGCAGGAACCTGTATTTCCTCACCAGGTGTTAACACTTCCTTGTGGTTTCCATACACTTGTCCATACCTTTGTTGATGTTACTTTTATGAAACTTCTCTGCAAGTCTTCCTGACTTGAATGTGCCATTATTTTTGCCCTGATGTTGATTGGCTAACAGGATCTCAGACTGAAACAAGTTCAAGCTAACTCTTCAGTTCTCTCCCCTTCTCTCCAGTATAATACTGCTCCTTCCCCAGTGTTACTCATCTCAGTAATTGCTGAAGCTAAATTCATGGTCAGCACGTGCTACTGATTCTCACTTCAATCTGATCATTTTTCTCCACTGTTAAGAACCTGCTCTCCACACCACTGTCTTCTTACCTGGAGGAGTTCCCTGATTGGTTTCCTGTCTCTTTCTGCTCCTCTGCCCTCCATCTGCACATAGCAGCCAGAATAATCCTTTTTAAAATGTAAATCAGGTTACACTATTTTTAAAACCCTTCAATACCACCTCTGGCACCTTAAGCCTTTCAATTTCTTTCTGTCGCCTACAGGTTGGTGCTTACTGCTTCCACAAGCTTGTCTTGCATTGCTGGAACATCATGGCTGGTTTCTTCTGACCTTCCACTGTCATCCCAAATGCCTCCTATTTACAGAGACTTGCTTTAACCACCCAATCTAAAGCACCTTACCCTGACTCTAGCATGTTGTTCTGTTTTAACTTTCTTAAGCATATTCTCCTCTAAAGAAATCTTATTTATGTGTGTCTCTGGATTGGTTCCCCAATGGCAGGATAGGCTTTGTGAGAACAAAGACCTTACGTACTTTGTTCACCATATCATCCTGGCCACCTAAAACAGTGCTGGACTATAGTAGATGCTCAGTAAATATTTATAGAGTGAATACACAAATAGCTCTCTGCTTCTCCAGAAATTTTAGACTAGCCTAGGCCATCAACTACAGAGATTCACATGCCAGACCTATTATTAGTGGGTAAGTAGCAAAAAGGAAGAGAAGCAGTACGTTCAGTGTACTGGAAAGAGAGCCCTGGTGTGTAGATACTTAAGGCAAGTTCCATAACATCTCTGTTGCCTTTGCTGTAATGGGTGCTGGTCAGTGATGAGGTGCAGGTCCTCCTTTTTCTACAATGCTGAATTCTGGGCTAGTAGACACTGCTCACACTAGGATTAGCACATACATTTTATTTTTGAAGAGAACCATCCTGATTTGTTGTTTGGGAACTTAGAGCATCGAGAGTGGCACCTCATCTTTCTGATGTCATCCACAAAAACAGATAGGGAGTGTAGTCTTCCAGGACTGGAGAGGTTACTGTGCTAGTGCATAGCTCACTTACAAAGCACTGTTAGTGTGTGATTTCAGTGAAGCCCATGACAGTTGAAGGGAAACACACACACCATGTGTGGTCTTTCGGATAAGGAAAGGGAGGTGTCCCCAAGGCCATTCTGCTGGTCTGGAATGGTGCCAGGATGGCAGCGCCGACCCTCATTCCCCCTCAGCTGGTGTCGTGTCCTCAGCACCAGGTTGCTTGATGGTTAGACTCCACTCTTTGTACCAATGATAATTTACAGGCAGTCTCTTTGTAGCCAGTAGTACCAGAAATGTCCAAGACCCTTCTCTGATAACATCAGATCATCTCATGCCCAGGTAAGAGATGTGAGCTCTGTGACGACGGCTACTTTGGAGACCCTCTGGGCAGAAATGGTCCGGTGAGGCTGTGCCGCCTGTGCCAGTGCAATGGCAACATTGACCCCAACGCCGTGGGAAATTGCAACCGCTTGACGGGAGAATGCCTGAAGTGCATCTATAACACTGCCGGCTTCTATTGTGACCGATGCAAAGACGGATTTTTTGGAAATCCCCTGGCTCTCAATCCATCTGACAAATGCAAAGGTAAGCCGTCATGGGCCAGATTCTGTCACCATTGTACTCACTTATTTTGCTAATCCATGGTGTGGTGTTTTTAGAGCTTTCCAGTTATTTAGTCAAATGCAAGGCCATTTTATAGAAACCCAGCACAAGCCACTTCTTGAATGTTTTCCAGTAGACACATTAAAATAGAGAGCAAGTGAAATTAAATTACTAATGTCTTTTATTTAATATAATATAGCTAACTACTTTCGTTTCAGCAATTACCTATTAAAAAAAAGTCGCAGTATATGTTTTTGTTTCCCCACATCAGTTCTTGAGAGCATTTGCAGCACATCTCAGTCCAGACCAGCCCAGGGCTGGAGAATCGTTTGCTAGTGTAGATGGTTTAGTATTTCTCTCAGGTGATGTGAATCTTTTGCTGTCTGTCTTGCTGCCTTAGCCTGCAGCTGCAATCCCTATGGGACCGTGAGGCAGCAGAGTGGCTGTAACCCCGTGACCGGGCAGTGTGAATGTCTGCCTCATGTGAGTGGCCGGGACTGCGGGGCCTGCGATCCTGGGTACTACAACCTGCAAAGTGGGCAGGGCTGCGAGAGGTAAGGCTCCTGGTGCCTTCTGTGGGTCTGTTTGTGGGGTTTTTAATGTAATAGATGAGTTTTTAGCATCATACATTAAAATAGTTGTCTTGCCTCTGTTTAGGAATGATTGGAGTGTCTAAGACCAATGAGGTACCCTGACAGGAGTAATGGGAAGTTGTATTCAAGCTAGTGGCAGAAAGCATAGAGTACGTGGTTCCTGCTGAGTCACAATCACCTGGGCAACATTCAGAAACAAAACCGGGTCCTCTCTGAGGACCTGGGGTTAGTCTGACCCTCGGGTTGCATTCTGGGGATTCCAGGTTGGGGTGCCACTGGCTGTGGTTGAGTCTTGGAGTAACAGGGTGTGTAGGGTTAGGTTCAAAAAGGAACGCCTTGCATAAAACTCATGAAAATGACTTGCGCCTCAGTGGCCTAAAAACCCATAACATTTAGTTTTTCAATACCAAATATATTGGTCCTAGTTGGAAAGGTTAAAAAAAAAGAAATGGTTTGGGCCCTCTCTGGTGGCGCAGCGGGTTAAAGCACAGCACTGAGAAGCTAAAGCCGCTTCCACATGAGTTCAATTCCCGCCTGCCCCGGAGGTGACCACAAGGCGTGGCAGACCTCTCCTGACCCGCCCGCTGCTCCCCTCAGCAGTGTACCTCATCAATCTGCCTGTTCTGCTCCCCACTCTGTCCCTGGTGAAGCCTCTTGCTGCCCCTAAGTCTCTGGCCTGTACCCCAGTTCTGTATGCACAAATAAATAAATCTTAAAAGAAATGGTTTACCACAGCTCTGTTTTTCTTACCCTGGAAATGTCATGTGTTCCGTTTTCAGGTGCAACTGCCATGCTTTGGGTTCCACCAATGGGCAGTGTGACATCCACACTGGCCAGTGTGAGTGCCAGCCTGGCATCACAGGACAGCAGTGCGAGCGCTGCGAGGTCAACCACTTTGGGTTTGGACCTGAAGGCTGCAAACGTAAGGGGCGCTGGTGGCACGGAACCCTAAGTCTCCCCTGATTCTGGTCAGAAAGGACTTGGGCAGACTTGGAGTCTAGGCCACCGGCTCACAGTCAGAGCGACCCGAGTCCTTATTGATGCTTTGTTTGATGCCAAAGCATTATGCTTTTCTAGAATTCTGGGGATTGAGAGCTGTTCTGGTTTCTTTACCACCTAGTTTATGTCATTGTGCTGTTTTCTGATTCTTCCTTTTACCAGCCTTCTATTTTTCCAAAGTCTCCTTTTTATTATTGATCCCTGCCCTTGTGCTTGAGGAGACCCTCTCACTGATCAAATTCTTGGTGCTGATAATGAAGCTGGAGACTCTCTCACTGTGGGCTGGTTGACTCACTGGCTGTGGTCACTTCCCAGCCTGGGGGCCCTTTCGGTGTGGCCATGTGTAAACATCTGCTTCTTGGCATAAACACTTGCCTGGAATTAGACTCAGAACTGTTTGGGCTTTTGCTTTCTGAATTCCTTCATTTTTCCTGTGGAATGTAGCATACTGCCTTTTATTCAATTCAGAGAACAAAGTGAGTAAACACATATAAAATAATGCAAAATACGCATTAGCACTAGGTTTTCTGGTTTTAGTGGGACAATAGTAATAAAACAATGGGGAGATGAATAGAAGTGAATTTATAAAGTGTACAAAAGGACACTGCTTTGTTTAATAGGCTGGATTCTATAATTATTAAGTCATTTGAAAAGATACATATTTTTCTTAAAACTGGCTAGTGTTTTAAAATTTTCTGTTTTCACTGCCAGGCACTCTTAATCATTTAAATTCCCATAAAATACCCTGTTTTTTAAGAAGTCTCTGCTTAATGAAAGTGTATAGTCAGTTATCAGTGTTAGTCTGAGTTAAAGAAGACTCCCTTCTTGCCTTATTATGTGCTCTTTCCCCTCTGTTTTGCAGCCTGTGACTGTCACCCAGAGGGGTCTCTTTCGCTCCAGTGCAAAGATGATGGTCGTTGTGAATGCAGAGAAGGCTTTGTGGGAAATCGCTGTGACCAGTGTGAAGAGAATTATTTCTACAATCGGTCTTGGCCTGGGTGCCAGGAATGTCCAGCATGTTACCGACTGGTAAAGGACAAGGTAAGCTGTTCATAGTGCATGCATGCATTCATTCATTCATTCATTCATTCATTCATTCATCAGCCATCAGATGTGAGCTTACTGCACATTAAGTTCTGGATAAAATGTGGTGAAGAAGAGAGATATGGTCCCTATTCTCAGAGACTTTTGTTCCAGTTGGTAGACAGTAAGAACTAAGTAAAGAAATCAGTGCCAGAAAGAATACAAAGAATTGAACCACTTTCTATTATGGCTCTAAGGAAATACACTGCAGATGAGAAGGTTTGGAGAAGCAGGGGCAGCCCAGTGAGAAGGAGTGAAAGGCAAAATTTTCCTGCACAGGAGTAATCTGAAGCACAAGGGAGCGGTCAGAACTGGGAGTTGTCAGTGTGTGTTGTTTAGGGTTAAAGGAATGAGTCTGGCATATTTTCTTTGGAAGTCAAAGAAATAAAATTTACCTGGGATCTACTTAGCAGCAAACATGCAGGGAATGTGTGGGCCTACGTATATTCAAGTGCAACTGATCTCTCAGCAGGAGGTTCAGTACTTCAGGAACACTCATATTCCTGCTCGCCCTTGGCTTCCTTCATTACATTTAGGTGGCTGATCATCGAGCAAAACTCCGGGAATTGGAGAATCTCATAGCAAACCTCGGAACCGGGGACGAGGCGGTGACGGATCAAGCATTTGAGGATAGACTCAGACAAGCAGAGAGAGAGGTTATGGACCTCCTTCGTGAGGCCCAGGATGTCAAGGGTAAGTTTTAAGGCATAATAAGCATAAGGTTATTCTCCAGCATATTGAAGCTATCACAAGTATTTTTATATATTTCAAACATTTTATAATGTAATGATATTTTATGTAATGATTTTTTTAAAAGTTTTTTAAAAATCATTGCAGATATGCAATGTTACTGTCCATTATTTTAAGTAGAATACATGACCTTTGATTTTTTTTCTTCATTCTAGTGAGGGAGTATTTATTTTATGCCCTGATTTATTTCTTTGAAAAGGATTCTTGCAGGGAAAATTGTGATCTTCAATTATGAAGTGAACAGCTAGCTATCAAATATATAACACTTAGTATTTATGAAACTAAGATGAGAAACTAGGGTGTACTTTGAAATTATCTAGTTAACAAACACATATGGAGGTAACACTCTATGAAGACATACACTTTAGATATTATATATGTAATGTCCTTTGCAATTAGATAGTTCAGTCCACTGTACATTAACTGATGAGACAGGATGATAAGCAGAGAAGAGGTTGACTCAAGATTTAGAAAGCAATTTGTTTGTTTTTAAATACCTTATTAAAGTTAAGAAAGTTAAGGACCAATAACAGATGGTTTCACTTACTTGTGGAATATAAATAACCAAAAACACATATACTTACAAAAATAATCTTACACTTAGAAAAAATATACTAGTTACCAGAGGAAATGGGGGTGGAAGAAGGGGCTCTAGAAAGGAAGGGGACAGGACAATGGCACAGAAGGTGAGTGGAACACATGTCCATGTGGAGGAGGAAAAATGTAACCTTAGAGTCATACAGCTGTGTAAGTGGCCAACAAATTTAATTTAAAAAATAAAATGAAATGACTTCAAAAGAAAGTTTGTTTTTAAAACCTTGAAGGTCAAGTTAGTTTAAATAATTGGTTTGCTTTTTATAAGCACTTAAAATTTTTATTTTCACTTCTTAGTCTCTGGAAAGAGATTTTTTTCTAAAACTTGCACAGGTCCTTTTTACACTTAGTGCTTGCCCACTGTAGTAACACCAACAGTGGAAAGAGGACTGAGGACCTGCACCTTCATGCAGGTGTCACCGTCTGTCTGGCTTCCCATCTGCTTGGGGGCTCGCCCATGGGCCTGACACCCAGGTGTTCTCAGTTACTCACAGTCACCTTGACACATCATCACGAGCACACCTGGGACTGCAGTGGTCAGCTTCACTATTTTCTTTTTAGCTTTATTGAATTAGAATTGACAGAAAGCACTGATGTATAAGTTTTGTGTACTGCATGACTCAGCATACTTACATTGTGAAATGATTATTGGTTATTGATTTAGGAATCTCTAACTCACTTGGAGTTAGAATCCTTCAAAATTCAGGTCAACAGAAATGAAATACATTTGTTGATTTCTTAATGCAAATATCCCTAATGTATAGAAGTTTGATTTTATAAAACTACTGAACCAGAGAAGGGATTCATTGGTTACATCTGGTTTGGGCTAGTTTGCTTTGTGTTTTTCATGTGAGAATCCAGGAATTGGTCCATGAGGCACATTTTGAGAAATAATAAAACCAGAGCTCAATAGCTTGTATTAACTATAGGTGTTTTCTGTTTATTTTTTGTTTTGGTAGTGGTTATTTCATCTTAAGGCCTTATGGCATCTTACGTCTTCAGCACAAATGAAGGATTTAAATGTTTCATACTCTACATAAACAGTAGTAGTTTTTTTAAGGATGTTCAGTTTTCAGCTTATGACATGTTATTTCATTCATGTATTAAGGCAACAAATTCACACCTACCATGAACACTGATGGCTCGAATGTGAGTTGTCATTCTTAAGTATCAGTTATTCTGCCTGAGTGGTGGGCTTGGCACACAGTGCTGGGCCAGCACCAGCAGCAGGTGGGAGGGAGACCTGCCAGAACTGCCATCGCCTCATGCCAGGCAGCCCCCAGCGGCCCCAGCTGCATCTCCCGCCCCTTGGACCACAGAGTCTACCTGTCCTCTGCCCAAGTGGGTGATTCTGTTGGACAGAAGCTGTGATAAGAGCCATGGCCATCAGAACTCGCCTTGCGCCCTCTGGCATGGGGGCAGGAGGGGAACGGTTGCTGCTGCTCCTGCTCTCTTTGGGGGCCCTGTTTCATGGGCCCAGGGTTCTACCCACTTCCACTTAGATCGGCTTCCTGGAGTTCCTGGCTGACCTTTCCCACTTAGGCTCAGACTAGCCGAGAATAAAAACAAAATTCATGCTTGATCTTTTAAAACTATCCCTAAGTATTCATTTGTACCTTAAACTTGGCTTATTCTGTAGATTCAAAAGGAGCCGTTTAGGTCTTAAAATTAGACATTGGAATTGGAAGGCATCCGATTTTGTAAAATTACCTATTCTCTTTTGTAGGATAATAGGTTATCTATTCTCTTTTCACATACTATTGTCCTTCTGAAAAACTGGCCAGAGAGAACTGTATCTGTCATACTTTTGAGAGCCTGAGGGAAGGGACCTGCTAACCTCAGTGGCTGACATGCATCCTCAGCCTCTGGATTGTTAAAGGACCTGATCAGGTCACTGCATAGAGCAGGCAGCAGTTGTGCTGGACTCCAGCTTCACACATGCTTTTGGGAGCAGTGCTTACAGGGTGTTACTTTCCAAACCTGTAATCAACTTTATTGGTCTTAACTTTGACCCCTCATCTTTTTAAGCTTGCTTTAAAAATTTCATTGCCAACATTGAATATTATGCTGAAATAGAAGCTGGTCTATTTCAAATAGGACTTAATGGCTCTTTCACATTAAAGACAGCCTATGATATCAGAATTTTAATAATGAAAAAGTTATACTTGCATGGGCTTACAGTTATCTTTGAATGTATTAGGACCCAAGCACAGTCTTGAAATTGAATGGGGAATTTAATAAAGAACAAGTTGAAGAACTAGTCAAAAGCAATAATCAGATTTTTTTTAAATGACATGGATATGCCAGGGGTAGGGAGTGATGGCATGCATCTCTTTCAGTTTAAAATCTACAGTGGAATTTTAATTTGTCATATTTCACGCCCTGCTTTAGAAACATTTTTTCCAGTTTAGAAAAATATAATTTAGAAAATGTCAGGCTGCCGGTGCTTTCAACAATATTGATCTTTATAATTAAATCTGTCATGTACTAGGATGTCTAAATCAGTCTTTATCAAACACTTCTAGGCTGCCAGACCTGTTGATCTTTGTCAACCATTCTATAAGAGGCTGTGATGATGGATAAGAAAGAGGGTCAGACACAACAAAGCCGGAGACAGGGAGACAGTGCAGGGAGCGTAACTGTGGAGGAACTGCCTGGCACAGGAGAGACTGACCAGCACTCCCAGGGGCCACAGGCACATTGATCAGAAAGGTGCAGGGTTTGAAAGGGTCCAGATGAGCAGTGCTTCAGACTCCTTGTGAGATGATACGTCCTCTTGTCAGATAACATGTGAACTTTCTTCTGCAATGCCATTACAGATGTGGACCAGAATTTGATGGATCGCCTCCAGAGAGTAAATAATACCCTTTCCAGCCAAATTAGCCGTTTGCAGAATATCCGGAATACCATTGAGGACACTGGAAACTTGGCTGAACAAGCACGTTCCCGGGTAGAGAGCACAGAGCAGTTGATTGAAATCGCATCCAGAGAACTTGAAAAAGCAAAGATGGCCGTTGCCAACGTGGTGAGTGTGTGCCAGTCTGAGGCGGGAGCAAGCACCCCTGTAAACTGCAGCAAGCATGGCAGTGCAGTGCTTCTTTAACTGACTTCAACTTGCATCTTTTCATTTGTCTGTCAGCATGGAGAGGGAAGGCTGTATTGCTCATAGCGGTCATGAGTTAGTTCCATTAACTGGGTAGAGACCCCACGGCATCTATTTCTAGAGCAGGGACCTTTTCCCAGCTTTGTTCCTTCTGTGGCTCTAGGCAGTTTAAATTTCCTTTATCCCTTTCTAAAATTAACAGGCATTCTTTTTGCCAAATAACCTAATAAAATTTTAACATCCACACTTGCTTTTTTAAATGTAGATTATTCAGTCTTTTGGGATAAATGCTTTTGTTCATTTCCTCTTCAGTCAATTACTCAGCCAGAATCTACAGGAGACCCAAACAACATGACTCTTTTGGCAGAAGAGGCACGAAGGCTGGCTGAACGGTAAATGGTTAAGTGGTGGCTTCAAGGTGCTACACCCACAAACCCTTTCCTCATGGCCACTTTGCAGGGTTTGCTTTCTTTTCTGAAATGTCATCAGCTTCATGTGTACTTTTCTTCTCTTTACTTTGAAATGTGAATATTTTCCATGAATATGAAAATACATTATTAGATATGATGATCCTTTTATTGTAAGACTCATTGATTTTGGGGAAAAATAACATATATTAAATGAAATCCCAAAAGTGAAAACAAATACAATGATTTGGGAGAAAATTATACTTGCAGTTTTTCAAGAAAAACAGTATTTTTAGATTTTTAGTTTTGAAATCTTAAAGTGTAGTAGATAACTAAGATGCTCAGCAACATTTAGTTATTAATTTTTCTAATTATTAAATGGATTTTTACCAAAAGGTATTAATTTTCAAAGAAAAAATATGTTCATGACTTTTCCAACAACCCAAAATAAAGACAATATAAACAAATATGAAGTGACCCCCAATAAATTTTATACCATTAGTTTTCATGAAAAATAACATTTTCTCATATTAAAGAATGCTATTTATAAACTCAGCCCCACTGAATGATTGCAAAATTCCAAATTTATTAGATTTTACATACTTCTCTGTAAACTCTGGCCACATTAGGATATGTGTGTGTGTGTGCATGTGTGTGTGCATACTGAAATTTTTTTCTCTCCCTATAAGATGATTGTGTTTCATGGTTTCTTTATTCTTTTGTGCTATACAGCCATAAGCAAGAAGCTGATGACATTGTACGAGTTGCAAAGACAGCCAATGACACATCAATGGAAGCATATGATCTGCTTTTGAAGACACTGGCAGGAGAAAATCAAACAGCATTGGAGATTGATGAGCTTAATAGAAAGTGAGTGTAATTTAACAGGGCTCATAGCCCTTCAGCTATTCTCATGTCGTACCAGTTCAGTGAAAATTTAAATGAGGCTGGATACAGGGGAAGCATTTATGAAGGAAAATTTCTTTAGTTTAATCACACTTAGTTATAGAGTTTTTATTTGATTTAATTATTGCTGCTGCAGAGGTTGATAATAAGACTCACCAGGATACTTAAAATTCTGCCTAAATGAAGAGAAAACTATCATATAGTAAGTAGAGAAAACATTCTTCAGTGTCAGCTATTAATAAAAGTGTCCAAATCAGAAAGTAGATGATAAACCATACATTATAAGTAGAAGCATTAAGATCAAATATAAATTTAAGCTCTCTTGATAAAAGCATTTTAGTATAATACTTTCTTTGAGTTTTTGAACTAGTGCCAATGATTTAAACAAGCATGAATCTGGTTAACAGTATGATGCTAAAAGCATCTGAAGTTTTTCATTGAGTCACATCTTTGGTTCCTTAGGTATGAACAAGCAAAGAACATCTCACAAGACTTGGAGATGCAGGCTGCCCGCATCCTTGAGGAAGCCAAGAAGGCTGGCGACAAAGCTGTGGAGATCTATGCCAGTGTGGCCCAGCTCACCCCTGTGGACTCAGAAGCACTGGAGGTATGGGGTGACAGCTAGTATGCCCCAAGCTCTGCTGTCTCTTGTCTCTGTCTCTCTCTCTCTCTCTCTCACACACACACACACACACACACACCATTCTAATTGCCCTGAACCATCACAGGTACATATCTCTAAAGTTACTATAATTTAGTCAAGAGTCCTATGATTATAAATATTAAATAGCAAAGGCTACTTTGTGATATGAGTAATCACTCCAGATCTTTAATATAAATCCAAATCATAATATATTAGGATTAATTAAAGGCAGAATACACCTACACTGTTACTTTCAGGCATTCTCTGGGAGAGAATGAGGTCAATAACAGGATGCGTTTATATAGCTCTTAGGCAATAGTAGTGGGAGAGGCGGGAAGGGGTCAAACAGGAGAGGGATGAGTACAGGGGACTGTGGTGTTGATTCATGGGTTATTTGGTGATGGGAGAATTGTGTGGAGGGGAGAAATCAAATATTGTACCAAAATGAACAATGATGTAAGAAAATTAAAAAACAAAAAGGGTTGTTTAGATGAAACAACTCCCAGAATGTTCTTGAATATTCAGGTTAGTAGCATTTTATTTTCATCTATTTTTATTACAATCACGATTATTCTAATTGTGACTCCTCATATTGGGCTTTAGAAAAATGATGTCATTTTTACATTAAACTTGAAATTCACTAAGTTACTCTTACATCCAAGGAATTAACTTGATTTTTTTTTATACAAGTTTATTTTTACATCATTTTGTACATTTTTTTTTTTTCCTCTCAATTGTAATCCCCGCGGAATTGACTTGATTTTTAACCATAACGATTTAGGTGTTTTCAGCCTGAAATACGATTCTATTTCTATGATATTTGAGGGTAGACAAAACTAACATATGCTGAACTAAGACTAGCGGTAGCTGTGTTGTCAAAAAAGTAGGTGTGGAAATTGACTGGAGAGGGATACAAGAGAATGTCCTTGGTGGAAATATTTTGTGGCTTGATCGGGATGTTAGTTGTTAGGCAGATAATGTATTTGTCCAAACTTGTCAAGCTCAGCACTGTGCGTACCACACTGTATAAATTATATCTTGATGTTTTTAAATGTTCCATAAAGTCTTGACCTATGTTGTTCCATTTTAAATAGATACTGAGTACTTAATGTTACAGAGTTGCTAGTCTAGTTCTCATCAGTTTTATCTAAAATGTAATGACCATACTTAATTTTCACAGAATGAGGCAAATAAAATAAAGAAGGAAGCCGAAGATCTGGATCGACTCATTGACCAGAAGTTGAAAGATTATGAGGACCTCAGAGAGGACATGAGAGGGAAGGAACTGGAAGTAAAGAACCTTCTGGAGAAAGGAAAGACAGAACAACAGGTTGGCTTGACTTGCAGGCAGCTCCATTTTTTGAGGCAGAATTTGAAGGTGTTTCAGGTGTAAGCTGTGCCTGTCACATCCCCACCCCTACAGAGGCAGCAAAGCACTGTGGATTCAGGGGAGGGCCCTCTGCTGGATGCCCGGGCCAGCCTGTGAGGGGGGGGTGGGTGGAGGCCCTTGGTCTCAGAGGGCTTGCACTCTGACCCACCACTTGCTTTGCAGACCGCAGACCAACTTCTGGCACGAGCTGATGCTGCCAAAGCTCTCGCTGAAGAAGCTGCTAAAAAGGGACGGAATACCTTACAGGAAGCTACTGACATTCTCAACAACTTGAAAGGTAGGAAAGGGTTAAATCAAATACCAGGGTAAATTAATTTGTACTAGGGTGATTCATTTTATTTTTAATTTTTTTAATTTTTACCATGAGATTCTCCAAACAGACACCCTACAAAAGATAATAGTGTAAACAACCCCCATAGCTGCCATGCTTTTTTTTTACATTGAAGTATTTCAAAGAAAAATCCCAGAGCTCATGCCATTTTACCCCTATATAATTTAGTATGAAAACAAAAACAAGGACATTTTCTCATGTTAGGATGACTCATGTAATCAAGATGTGCCTGTTCAGCTGATTTATGTGGCTAAGTAGAGATTGTTATCTCTCGTTTTCTCTGCTTTTAGACTCAAGGCTAACAAAATAGCAACAGGCTCTATAAAAGCAGGCACTTTCCCGGATACGGTTGCAAGTATGGGCTCAGGTGCTGGGGAGTCGGAGTCCAATCTTTGACCCACCTCTCACTATGAGGCCTTGGGCACATGGTCTGCCTCTTTAGTCCTCAATATTTTTAACATATAAAAGTGATTCAGCGGGCCCTCCCTGGTGGCGCAGCAAGTTTAAAGCACAGCACTAAGAAGCTAAAGCCATTTCAGCATGAGTTCGATCTCTGCCCCAGAGGTGACCCACATGGCGCGGCAGACCTCTCCTGACCTGCCTGCTGCTCCCCTTGGCAGTGTATTTCGTCAATTGGCCTGTTCTGCTCCCCACTCTGACTCTGGTGAATCCTCTCACCGCCCCTGCACTTCTGGCCTGTACCCCAGTTCTGTATGCATACATAAATAAATCTTTATAAAAAAATGGCTACGGTGTATGCATTGCAGGCACATAAAGCTCAGCTTAGTACCATATTCAGTACTTTGCGTAAGTTCATTTTTCAAGGAAGAATTTGCTTTCTAGAAGCAGATTCCTTCATGAGAATACTCCATGTGGAGCCATGTACTTTTCTAAGATTTCAGTTCATATCATATTCATTTTTTTTCTCCCTGATTTTCAGTTCCCTCAAAAGGTTCCCTTCTTTGTTGTTGAGTTTATTTATTGTAAAGATTTATTTTTAGTTATTTATTTATGCATAGAAGAACCAGAGTATAGGCCAGAAGTGTAGGGGTTGAGAAGATTCACCAGAGACAGAGTGGGGAGCAGAACAGACAGATCTGCTGAAATACACTGCTAAAGGGAACAGCAGGTGAGGCGGGAGAGGCTGCTGCCTCATGTAAGTTCGCTTACTGAACTCAGGCCGTAGTGGTGATGGTTCTGATAGTTAGGCCACCAGGGAGGCCCCGTGCTGAGTGTTCAATTCAAATGAATTTCTTGGATTTGTTTTAGATTTTGATAGGAGAGTCAATGACAACAAGACAGCGGCAGAGGAGGCTCTAAAGAGAATTCCTGCCATCAACCAGACTATCACTGAAGCCAATGAAAAGACCAGGGAAGCTCAGCTGGCTCTGGGCAACGCTGCTGCTGATGCCACCGAGGCTAAGGACAAGGCCCATGAGGCTGAGAGAATTGCCAGCGCCATCCAAAAGGTGAGCACACCCTTGCCTCCAAACAGTCTCTGCTCATAGTCATCATGTTTCAGTTGCTGTACACGCCGCCCCCCCCCCCCCCCCCCGACCCCCATCAGTCTTGGCAAACTCTTTCCTCAGTATAAAATTATCTCACACCATCCATTTTCTTTTTGAACTGGACATTAAAGTAGGAATAACATTGATAGACAAGGGAGAAATGTAGAAGGGTCCTTTTTGCTAGAATTTCAGCTATGTCTAAGTGGAGGGTGAATTATACTGAGTGAGGTGGCTTCAGGGGCTCCTAGAGCCCTCACCCACAAAACAAAACCAAAAAGCACCCTCTTGCTAAGTAAGCACCGTTCTTTGACATGAACAGTTTTTTGTGCAAATTGGTTTAGAGTGCCAAGCCATCATGACCATCAAGCCCCTCCTTGAAATTGCACAGCTAAGTACTTAGAATTTCTGTAACTGCTACACTAGGGGCTCCTTCAACCAAGAATAATTTCTTCTGGGTGGCATTTTCCTTCTTCAAGGTCAGTCTTTTTTTTTTTTATTTTAAGGAAAGATTGGAGTTAATTCTAACATTATATTTGAGATTTGCATTTTTTAATTTCTTTAGAACAGTTGGGTTTTTTATTATATTGTATAAAAATACTCGTATCTCAGGATAAATGCTTTTTTAAACATTTTTTTAAATTTATTTATTTTTTAAATTTTTTTTTAAAGATTTATTTATTTGTGCATACAGATCTGGGGTGCAGGCCAGAGGCTCAGGTGGTGAGAAGCTTCACCAGAGACAGAGGGGGGAGCAGAACAGACAGATCGACAAAGAACACTGCTGAGGGGAGCAGTGGGCAGGTCAGGAGAGGTCTGCCGCGCCATGTGGTCACCTGGGAATCGAACTCATGTGGAAGTGGCTTTAGCTTCTCAGTGCAGTGCTTTAACCCGCTGCACCACCAGGGAGGGCAATAAATGCTTTTTTTATTATGATCACCTGCGAAGTAGAACCTTCTAGCTTTGAATTGAAAATGTATCCAAGTGAAAGAGTTTAACCAACATGATGTTATACGAAGTACACACCATTTAAATGTTTGCCATTTGGTAGCTGAGTGACCTTAACTAAAACTGGCAATAGAAGAGCAAGTTGCCAGCATTAAATAACAGGACACAAATGAAAATGACTGATAACATGCAATTATGTTAGGTGGTAATGTTGCTTTTTGTTATTATTGCTTGGAGCCCAAATAAATGATAATATAAGTCAACATTGGGTATAAACTACTTTCTGGATTTTTGAACCATTTTATAGATTATAAAAGAAGTGGGGACATACTCAAGAAAAGAAACTTTTTTTTTTTTTATTAGCAGTGTTGAAATAGCAATTGTTTGCTTTGTGCCTAGAATGCTACCAGCACCAAGGCAGAAGCTGAAAGGACTTTTGCAGAAGTCACAGACCTGGATAACGATGTGAACAATATGTTGAAACAGCTACAAGAAGCAGAAAAGGAGCTGAAGCGGAAGCAAGAGGATGCCGACCAGGACATGATGATGGCAGGGATGGTGAGAGCGGTTTGCCTATTTGCTCAGGGGCAGAGAGTAGGGGTGTTTAATAATGACAGGGATCGCCAACTTGTGGAGAAGAGTCTTTTTGAGATTGACTTCCATTTTCTTTGTTGTGATTGTTGGTCAAGAATTGGACCTGTAACTTAACAGAGAAGAGAAAGAATTTGGATCTTCTGCCAGGTTGTTGCACAACTGCCCTGTACCAAAGCTACTCTCAGTTAAAAGCAAAAGTTTGTTTTAAACATCTGAGGTTTTAGGACACTCAAAAGCATGTATTTTTATTTTTGAATGGATGATTTGTAAATGCTATAAAAACAAGGAACAAAGAGGAATGCGAAGTTTATTTCCTTCCTACTCTTGTGCTCCCCATAACTTGCCTTGTGAGGCAAGACCAGTTTCTTGTGTAAAAGGCAATTTTTGAAGGTGGCATTCATCATCTCCACCCCAAAACACACCAAGCTTATCTCCAGTTTGATTTTTACCATTTGTGGTGATGTGTAAACATAACCCCATTTGTAGCAAAATTGTGAATGTAAGGCCCAATGAAGAACTAGGTTCTATTTTTCTGTTGTTCTTGAAAGACTTCCATGGAGCCACAGGAAACAATTCCTTTCCAGGTCAGTGTTCTCAGTCACAGTAGATGTGAACCTTTTAAATTGCAGACTTTCTGTGTAAGGAAGGGCCCCTTCTTCCACTCCCATTAAAAAACAGGCCTTTACAGAGGATCATTTTCATGGTGGGATGGAATTTAGAAATGCTAAGCCTGTTGACCTATGTAACAAAAATCTAGGGCTGTGAAAATGGGAAGCATCCCTGTACAAGCATTTTTTTTTTTTTTAATTTTCACTGAGGTAACAGTTTTTTTTTTTTTTTTTTTTTATGCATACAAGAACTGGGGTACAGGCCAGAGGTGTGAGGGAGTGAGAAAATTCACCAGAAACAGAGTAGGGAGCAGATCAAGCATTTTGACTGAAATACAGTGCTGAGGGGAGCAGTGGGTGAGACAGGAGAGGTCTGCCGGGCCATGTGGGTCAGCTCCCTGGCTGGGAATCGAACTCCTGCTGCAGTGGCCGAGGGCAGCTCCACAGCACTGTGCTTTTTAACCTGTTGCGCCATGAGGAGGGCCCATCACAATGGTTTGCATCATTGCTTGTGTGTTAGAGGTGCAGAATCTCCCCCTTCAGGTGGTATTACCACACCAGGCCCACCACCAAACCCCCCTCATCCTGTACCCCTCGTCCTACACAATCACCCGCTGCACTTCCTCCCCTTGTTTTTCATCTTCCCCTTTTCCCCTTTGGTAGCCTCAGTTCTAATGTCAGCTTTCTAGGCTAGTTCTTGTTTGATTTTCCCTGGTCCTTTGTTTGGTTTCCCTGAATTCCACTTATGAGTGGTACCGCTCAGTGTTCCTCTTTCTCTTTCTAACTTATTTCACTAAATGTAATCCCTTCCATCTCCATACATGTTTAGAGAGTGTTTATCTTTTTTTGATCGCTGAATAGTATTCCATTTGCATATGTACCACATCTTCCTCTTCCTGGTCCATTCATCTGTCTTGGTGTACTTAGGTGAACTGTTGTAAATCATGGCAAGCATGTTACTCTAGTATGTGACTTGTGAGTTTTTTTGGTATACTCCTAATTTTTTTATGCAGCAGAGTGATAGCGGAAGTACAAATGCCAATATAGTGGCAGTGTGTATGTGTGTATGTGTCATATGTGCCAATGGTCTATGGTTTTCATTTTTAATATGGTTATACAAATACTAAATTTAAAACCTGTTACAAGGAAGGAAGAATGCATTCTGTGCGTCCTTCAAAAAGAGTGGGTTTAATTCAGAAGGAAAAAGAAGATCCTACTCTTGTTCCTTCCTGGTAAATAACATGTAAGGAACACACTGTACCCTCACACACACTGTCCAGTTATATGTCTGTCAACTGTGAGAGACCAGCACTGGGCCTGTGTTGTTTCAGTTGGGGACCACGCATTTTTGTCACTGAAAGAGTGGTGTCTTGTAGCCAGAGCAGAGTCCTGGAGCGCCTCACCTCCTAGTGTGCACACAGAAAAAAGGCCACGAATGTGAATGGTTGGGATTTCAGCAGAGATGAATCACTTACTTGTGAAGTGTGTTTTTCCCCTTTTGAAATTTTCTTTTTGAAACATTCACATTGTTTTGACCCCAAAGCTAGGTAAGATAATTCTGTGGGAGGGAATTCAAAGTCACTGTGTCTCCTATTTGCAAGACCATCTGTTTTCTAATATTTAGAGTCTCCCCCTTCCATTGCCATTTCCTGTGACTCATGCACAAGTGTATTTGTTCAGGTTTCATGGAAACTTACCAAATGTATTTATCTTTGGTTGATTTTTGAAATGTAAATTGTGTCACCCCATTTGTGTGTGCGGTTGCATGGGGAGAGGGAGTTAGATAGAGCATCATTCAATTGTGAAATTTTCTGAAAATAGGACATTTTTAATACACCCCTAATAGGGACCTGAAGTACATGTTTTGATTCTAAAACAGTTTTTATACCCCGCCTTATAAAAATAATGTGTCTCTACTTGATAGAGCTGTATTCATAATAAACTCCACCTGTCTGTGTGTGAGAAAGGGAGGAGGAGGTAGTGCTGATGGTGGGCCTGAGACTGACTGGCCATTTGGGATGTTACATGAATTAAAATTTAGCTCTATGCTCTAGATAACGCAGAATCACATTAGCCAAGTCCTGGAAGCCCTACAGTAAACGACTGGTTTTGTGGGTTAGGAAAGGGAAAAGCATCTGAAAATTGTCTCTTTGGAGGGAAAATATCTTCACTCAAGAAGATGAAAACATGCTGTCAGGATTTTGTATCATTTGTCCTCTCCCTCTACAGGCTTCCCAGGCTGCTCAGGAAGCCGAAATCAATGCCAGGAAGGCCAAAAACTCCGTCAACAGCCTCCTCCAGCAAATTAATGACCTCTTGGAGAAGTTGGGTAAGTTGCCATAGGGCCGTGCTCGGAGCCTCTGAAGTCTTGGGATCTGACGTATTTAAAGCAGTTAAGATAGTACAAATATGGTGTAAACTGAATCATGACAGGAGGTTGTAATAATGTGGGGAGTACTTTGTGGGTCCTTCCACGGAATCCTCCCTTAATATCTGACCATATTCTAAGAACTTTCATAACATTTTGAAGCTGCGCTGCCAGCAAGGTTGGCTTATTTATGTCAAGTTTTATGGTATAATTGAACCGAGGTTATTCTTAGCTCATCCTGCTTGGCCGCTGGAAGAATATCTTGAAAGAATTTAAAGTGAAGGATTTTGTGATAGCAGAACACTTGAAACTATCACTGTTTAAAACACTTTTCTTTTGGTCTGATTAGGTGACAGCTTTTAGCCACAAGAGGGAAAAGATTTCTTTTTACTCAAGGAAATATAAGCATATTGAAATGCTCTTTTAATGCAGTTTAGTAGGGAGCATTCTTCATTTTGGGACCAATGTACTTAGTGATCAGCCTCCATTATAAACTGATAATACCTAGCCAGTACAACTTTGTAGCAGGGCATCAGATTTTAACTTCTTTTTCTTTAAAATTTGGTGTTTTGTTTGTGTGCAGATGGGGGCAGGGGAGTTTATATATGTTTTTACATCTATCTTAAATTCCATAAAAAATAAGTTATGTGAGAGTGATAGATTTTCAACTAAAAGTATGCTAGAAGAGATAGCTTTCTGTGTCACAACAGAGTTTGGGTTGGCATCTTTGCTTTGGTGCGTATAGCACAGCTTATACACTTATACGCACCAAAGCAAAGATGCCAACCCAAACTCTGTTGTGACACAGTTATTTAATATCTGAGTATCGCTGATATAAAAGAGATCTGATGCAAATTTAATCGAGTACAGCGTGTATAAAGTACTGATTGTGGTACACTGTCAGCTTGTATTTACTGTGGAGTCAAGTCCTCTCAGGAGAACCTCTTTTTCTTTCATATTTTTAATTGAAGCTAGATTGAGATTACTTCAGCATGCCAGGCTTGGCTGTATCCCCATAGTATTTAACTCCTGAAAGCAGTAAATGAGCCCTGAATCACCCCAGCATGCCTAAGGGCTTTCAGTCTAGCTTAGAGATCTTTATGTTGGCTTGACGGCACTGAACTGACACACAGATTACTTTTATACACATGAAAAGGGTATAAAATTCTTCCAGATGACCTTCAAAACCTTCAGTGAGGCTTAAGATCTAGAACCCGGTCATGTTATATTTGGAAAACATTTAAAAAAATTTTTTTCTCTTAAAAAAGCCATCCAGACCGATAGCCATTATAACCTTTGACCCATGGCTGCTGGGTGAGGTCAATGTGTCCTTGCTTTGCTCTGTTTATGCCCTTGCTGGACATCAACCATCTGCAAGTCACATCTGGGGCCCGCCCTTGTCAGCGGTCACTGCTGGCCTTGGAGGCTGCTCGAGGTCCTGGAGGGAGCTGTCGTAATCCCTGCTCAGTGAGTCTGTTCTCCTCTGTTCTGACTCTACAGGGCAGCTGGACACAGTGGACCTGAACAAGCTAAATGAGATCGAAGGCACCCTGAACAAAGCCAAAGATGAGATGAAAGTCAGTGATCTAGACAGGAAAGTGTCTGACCTGGAGAATGAAGCCAAGAAGCAGGAGGCTGCCATCATGGACTATAACCGAGACATCGAGGAGATTAGAAAGGACATTAAAAACTTGGAAGACATCAAGAAGACCTTACCATCGGGCTGCTTCAACACCCCGTCCATCGAGAAGCCCTAGCATCTCCCCTCGGGAACACAGCATCCCCTGACCGGGAAGCCGTTGTGAGGACATGTAGTGCCTTCACACAGACATGACATTGTTCAGACCCCCACTTCTCTGCTGCTCTCCATCACTATCCTTTTGAACCAGGAAAAGTCACAAAGTTTAAAGAGAAGTTAAACACCGTGAATCAGGAACAAAAGGTTTGCTCTAATAAAGTCTCTCTTCTACCTTCATCACTCCCTTTCTCGCACTCTCCCCTCTGAGGTGTGAGGACACGGCCCCTCGGTTACTGCCTGGTGACATAACCGCCTCGTGGGAACCATGCCGTGCCAGGGCCACGCTCACTTGGCACCCTCCCTTCTCACTGACACCGACGACCTCCTCCGTCTCAGTACTCTCGTCTCTATGAAGGAGAAGTCTGGCTACTGTTAGTAGCGCTGTGATGGCCAGTATGTGTAGTCCACAGGTTAAAGAAAACACACCTGCACTTTCCACCCCTCCTCCTTAAGCAAAAGAAAATCAACATCCTGTGCCAGTGTATGGGTCAGGGGGTCAAGAGCCGTCACAGCTGTAGCTCTCTGGGGCAGGAACCCAGCCGTCGCGGGGAGAACACCATTATTCCCGTGGTCTCCGGGAGAGCATGGGAACACAGAATGTGCTGAGACTGTTCTCATGTGGTAACCATTGACCAGAAAGGTCTGTTTTTTCCAGATCTTGGAAAGCTGATCCTTTAAACCCACACACATCTTGTACACACCATAGACATCTTTTGATTTGCTTATGAATGGAAGGAAGATACAGGGATATGATAACCACTAAAGTTGTTTTTCCAATATCATCCAAGTTTTAGGGCTTTTTTGGTATGTTCGTCTTAGAACCAGTGTTATCTGGCAGAGAACAGTCGGTCCCTGAGATCTTAACAAACACAACAAAAGAAGTCTTTTCTAGCAAAGGGATGAAACTTAGATACAGCTCACATTGTAAGAGTCCAGGTCCATTTTTCTTCCTTTGGGGAGAGAGGCAACATTTCACCCTTAACCTGATTTTCTTCTGATGGTCCCAGCTTCTAGAAGCTCTCAAAACTCATTGCCAAATCCTGGTGGCAACTACTTGCACTCAGTATTTCACACAGCTGCCAGCACCATCTAGTTCCTGCACTTTGTGATTTAAACCCACTCTAACCCTTCCCTCAAGTGAAGAGGGAAGACCCTTGCATGGGGTTCCTAGTGGGCTTCTCAGCTTCTGATCCTCAGCTTCGTGGTCTTTTAGGACCACAGTGTGACAATGCTCTGCCACACAACCCTTTCTCCTACCCACTTGCCTTGAGATTCACATATAGCCTTTAACACCATGCAACTTTGTACTTTGCGTAGCGGGGGAAAGAAACTATTATCTGACACACTGGTGCTATTAATTATTTCAAATTTATATTTTTGTGTGAATGTTTTTGTTTTGTTTATCATGATTATAGAGTAAGGAATTTATGTAAATAGCATTGGTCCTGTTTCTGGAATGGCACTGTTCACCCTGCACTCTATCTTCCCTCTTTACTGGCACGACCTGACCGTGTACCTCCTTCCTGACCGTCTGCAGCTCCCCATCCCCATGCCTTACGTTTGTGCACACCCATCTTTTAACATCCATACCAACCTGCTTTCCTGCACACAGAACTGCTCCAAAGAGGCACCTCGAGCCTCTTCCATCAGTCCTGGTGGCCCTGACCCACGGCACCTTGTGGTCCTTGATGCCAGCTCCAAAGCCGGGAGCCAGGTTGGCAGCATGTGGTGGAAGAAGGAAATGTTGCCGAAGGGGCTCTGAGCACAGTGTGGGTCTAACTGGAGATGAGCTAGAAATGCCCTGCTGGCAATTGTTTGAGCGGGGCACGTCAGTGTTGTAAGGAATGTGTCCTCCCGGGCACTTGACGGGTGTTTGGGACTGTGCGGCAGGAAGGTGGTGTGGAGGGCCCTGCAACTGAGCTGCTCTCGTCCGTCTCTTCCCTGCAGACCAGCGTTGCCTGCAGATGTGGACTGAGCACGCCCCTGAGCTGTCCTCCGCTGCTCTCGGGCCTCTCCTGTACGGCAGGAGCGACAACTCTTTCTTGCCAAGTCTTCACATCAGTGTTTCCTAACTAGTTCCTCTTGTTAAATGGCCACATCCTACCAGGCATGTTGGTCAAGGCTGCAGGGAAAGGGCTGAAGATAGACTTCCAGGGCGGTGTCCATCTGACCCAGGGGTGAGGTTCACGCTCCTGAATCGTAGGCCACCGTGAAATTTGTTTTTGTGTTTTTGGCTTTTCTGCTCCATCTGTGTGGTATATTTTTAAACAGAATTTTATTTTTAAAGTGAAAGCTCTTTATAAGACAATACCATAATTATACTCCTGCAATATAGCCATTATTTTACTGTATAGTTACCTGTATTTTCTGTAATAAAATGGACAGGGTGGCTGCTGCACAATGCTGGGTATCGCAGGGAACATAGACAGCTGTTTCCTGGAATTCCTCTTTTTAATTCCACTGTGGCCCTTTTACATGTGCCTTCACTTTAGCTGTTTGCCTTAATCTTTACAGTCTTGCTCTCCAGGGTGGTGAAGAAAATGCAACACTTGGCATTTTTGATGTTTAAAAAAAAAAACAGTATTTTATTTATAATAAAATCTGAATATTTGTAACCCTTTATATTCTTTGTGCCTAAGTGTGGTACTGGGGATGTAAGCTGTTTTAAAAGATATGATGAATGCAAAATGCTCAGAATGTCTTCTTCAGGTCACTTACTGAAAACAGTTGTGTGTGTGTGTTACATATGGATGCGGGTGAATGGACGGACAGACGGACAGATGTATGATACTTTGTATTTTAGGCTGGTGGGTCACGCATCGTCCCATGTCCTCTGCCTAAGGCAAAGGAAAGCAGGACAGGCAGGAGGGCTCCACAGAACCAGCTGAGCTCCCCAGGCTGTGCCTTCCAGACCGGGTGCACTGTCAGCACTTGATGAGTGACCTCTGAGGTTGTGTCTCAGTTATTTGGGTTTTCTAAATGGAAGATGTATAAGAAAAGACATTTCCACCTTTTAAATAATGTATGTCTTTGGATAAAAGTGGTTTCTTCGGATGATGGGAGCATGCATATTGCGGAATGAGAAGAAGTAAACAGTGACGTGCTTGCTGGACCAGGGACCATTAGTGGCCAGCCAACCAAGTACCAGAGACCAAGTGCAAATTATGTAAATTCAGAGGTGACAGGGAAACTGGGCCCGTGAAGCCTTTTTGTTTGCTCCTCACTGGGCACACACCTTCCCAATTATAAAATATGTAACTATGGTCCCTGTAGAGCAGAACCTAAACGCTTCTCACTAGATTTCCTCACAGAGAGCTTTAGAGGGCACTAGTTAGTTATTTCTTTCTTACCCTGTTCTTAAGACATTTGTAGGATCTAGTGCTCATGCAGGTATATCTCCTTTATAATTACCGTGTCAGGGTGAAGGGTGGCATTTTTAAATTGTCCTCATTCTTTATTTCAAGTCAGCAGAGCAGTTTCTCAAAAAGTTAGGAGCGACATAATCCCACTTACTATATCCCCACGGGTTTATTCCTTAATAAGCATTGCAGTCCTATAGCCCACTAGCCCCATGTCCATTTAGCAACCTGGAGAAGATCCTGGTCCAGGAAAGTTGTAAGGTGGAAAAGGCCTTGCCCCAGATCACGTAGGTTATGGAAATGAGAGATCTGTGAATGCAGGTAATATAGTTTGCTCACAATAAGCAGGGTTATGGAAAGTGAGACTGAGGATACTTTCTAGTTAAGTTCTCTATCTCTCAGAGGCTGTACTGTTCAGTAGTCTGTAACTGGAGTCACCTAAATTTGTATTGAGTCTCCAACAATGATTATACCTGCTCTACACAATCAAATGAAATCCTAAGTAGAAACCACTTGCATACTTCAGGAACAGAAATATTTAGCAAAAGTCCAAAGAAAAGCTAAAAGATCCACTTTAGCATCCAAATTAGGAGAAACCTCCACATTTCAAGTATTTGCAACACCTCTGCCTTTGCTTTAAACCCTTCCCTGCCTGGACTGTCCTTTCTGCTCCCCAGTATAAGAAAGCTCAAGGTCATGTGTTACCTCCACTGAAATTGACAAGTCCTTTCTTCCCAGCCTTGTTCAGATTGTACATGACTCTGGTATGTATTTTAGCTCTCACCTACCTACTGCCCTCTCCTCTCCCAAAGATCGGGGTCTGCATTATCACATTCCCATCTTTTAGTCTGGGAAGCCTGCAGGGTCACTCCGCTTGTCTGAATGGTGTGAAGGTCATCAATGTCTCTCCTTCCATTCCTGGTACTGTTTTCTTGCTGTGAGCAGAAAGTATTTTTGGATAATGTACTCTCACCTCCTTCCAACAGCACCCTCCTCTCCTCTGAATGTTTCGCGGGGTCGTAGGAAGGACGAGCTCCTAAGGTACCACTGGCCTCTCTTTCACACAGCCATTGACTTTTCACCAAGTGGTAGAGCACAGACCACACAGCAACCACTTGTGTGCCCAGATCCCAGCTCATACAAGTCATTCTCAGTATTGTACTGGGTACATGCAAGTTCCACTCACAGCCCCTTCTAAAGGTATTCCTGGAAACCAGTCCAAAGTAGAACTTCAATCCTCTTGAGCCACCCTCCCCACCCACCTGGAAATGGCCCAGTAAATTTCAATAGGTTGATTGGTGGTATATGCTGTAGGCCAGAGAAGTATTGCTATTAATTCAGTAGCATTTATATTTATTTCTATTAAAAAATCAAACCCTTGATGAAGAACTGAACTGTCTGTTATATATAATACTGCTCACATGAATATGTCCGAGTCAATCTGAGTCTCTGTAAAGCATCAGTGGGAGGACCCTCCCATCCTGCCAATCCTGTCACGCCATGGCCAGAAAGGAAACCTTTAGACTGTTAGTCCTGGGTTATGTGCCACCGTCTCTGCCCTGCTGCTGAGGCCCATTGCCATTTTAATACAATGCTCAGATTTTGTGCTGTGCCCCAAGAGAGGAATTTCCAGTTGTAACTCCTTTCTAAATATTCAATGCCATTCCTCTAAAATGTACAGTCCTAATTTCCTTGACTTTTCTTTGTACATTGAGGCTCATTTCTTCCATAGTTGTTTCTTTCCTCCTGAGTCTGGCTTCTGAATTGGGGTTCGTACAAAAGTAAGCACAAGTCTAGCCATGAGCAGAGATGTCTGCG